TTTTGTTATTAAATTTTAGACATTATAATTAACGAAATACGAAACTTATCGTGAATAGGCAATTGATACTACCAAATTTAAAAGTAGGGTTTTAAAGGGGGGAAATTTTGAAAAAGAGGGGAAATTCGTTCCCTTTTGTTTTGATCGATGTATTTTAAATAGATATTGACATTATTTTAAACGCACACTGATTACTGGTGGTAGGACCTCTTGTGAGTCCGCGCGGGTAGGTACCACCACCCTGCCTATTTCTGCCGTGAAGCAGTAATGCGTTTCGGTTTGAAGGGTAGGGCAGCCGTTGTAACTATACTGAGATCTTAGAACTTATATCTCAAGGTGGGTGGCGCATTTACGTTGTAGATGTTCATGGGCTCCAGTAACCACTTAGCACCAGGTGGGCTGTGAGCTCGTCCACCCATCTAAGCAATAAAAAAAAACACTTTTGTCTCGATAAATAAAAGTTAGGCGAGAGCGTGGTCAGGTTTTTTTTTTTACATTGAATTCAGCAGGTGCAGTGCGTTAGTAGTCCGGAATGTCTTGTTTGCAATCGCGATCGCAGACTAGTTTTAAACTCGGATAACAATGTTGTTAAAAAAAACAATCTTGATCAACGTCAATATGAATATACATACATACGTGTGTACAATAATAGATGCGAATATGCATAAGTATGCATCTAAAAACTTGGGTGCCGAGCGCTATTGAAATGGTGTTAGGTTATAAACGTTACCCAATCAGTATTAATGAAACGTTCCGTACATGGTCCGGTATTTAATAGCGAATGAAGATTCATAATATTCCCATGCCTCCAGAAGTGATGCTTGCGAATCGAGTTTTTTTTCTTTCTTTTTCTTAAATGGTTACTGCGGTAATTCAAAAGCGTATCTAACATTTTATTTCATGATGCTATGTAGTTCTTGCGCCTTTTTGATAACGTTCGCGTTCCGATAATCTATTCGAATATTGTTTTAATTCAATGGTTGAAGTAGTTGGATATACGACTTTAGCCCTTTGGATTAAGTCGCATTGATCGAGCACAGGAGTATACTCTAAAAAATTCAACTAATAAAATAAATTTATAACTTAGTCATTCCAAACTGGAAAATATTTTCTGTGATATTCAGAGCGATAATTGGATAAAGTAGTAAATCTGATAAATTTATCCGTTTTAACACAAGATTGAGTCTAGACTTATCGATCGAGGCGATTTCAAATGCGAAACCTTGAAATGCTCTAATGTAATGTAAAAATGAGCTTGATTTTTGTGCCTTTGCACGTTTCACATTATGGAAAAATAACTAATTTAACGTAGGCGTCACCCTGTCACCTTTTTATTGAAATGTAAAAATATTTCCATATTCCAATATTTTTTGCTTCATTACGCATATTTTTTTCTAAAGGAAGAATCTCGAAACCCACGTGCTCGAATTTTGTAGGCGGATTCATTTAATTTAGCATTCTCGTATTCGAGGAAAACTATCAATCTGAAAGATTTCGAAGAAATAAAGCCGTAAAAAGGATGGAGCGACGATAACGACGCTGTATGTAGGGCTCTGGTTGGTAGCAAAACGTGATATGTACAGAAATAAATATAAACTCGTATGTAAACCTTTGTGGGACGGTAGTATCTCGTGTTCGTGTTTGCATGGGTACGAGATGGCACATAACAGAAGCCTATCGCAATATAGGTACGTGTCGATATATCGACTGTGTCCTCGTCTACTCAGGGATCGCAACCTGCTAGCAACGTTTTGCTAATAAATAACATGGCATCGCAGTACCTGCAGTAACCTGCATTGAATGTGCCATTAAATAATTAACCTAATTGCATGTCGCGAAATTAGGTATTATTTTAATTAATTCTTACTTTATCATGAGTTTAGGGGTTGGGCAAAGAATTGTCCAAAACTTCGATCCTTGGTGTCTTTTGTGTCGTTCACCTGTCTCCTACTCTTCATCTCCAAACACCGCCCGTATGAGTATTAATTCTAATCCCTCAATATTTACTATTCAGAAAGCTGATTCCGTTCTCGTCAGATTAGTCTGGTAAAACAAACAGACAGATGAAAAAGCAAACGATACGATAAGGATTGGGTGGCAAATTCATAAAAAAAACTAGGTATTTGTTTTATGCAGTATATAATTTTTTCACTTTCATATAATTTAAATCATTATGTGAGAGCTTGAGGCGTCCTTTAGTTGGAAGATCATATGAACCTGCTGCGGAGATTCTTGAGAGCACCAACATAATATATTCTTCGGATTTTATAGGTCGTGAACATAATGAAAATGAGTTTACTCACTGCCAAACCTCAAAATACTGCTAGTTTTTAATATGTGTATTGAGAAACATAAATATCAGTAAATGTTCTTATTTTTATAGTAGACTGTGGTGTGTGCGCAGTATATCCTTTTTATCATGTGGCATAGGAATTTGCCATGAGTTTTATAACCGGCCGGGTGCCTGACTTTAAACCCTCCTCGGGAATGCTATGGTAGGCATAAGATGGTATGACACACGATTTATGACACCAACGGGAAGATTTGCGTCGGTCCAATTCTAAACCGGGGATCTAATATACTCGTGAAATAATTGGCGTTATTTAGCACAATATTCAATTCTAATGACACTTCAGTCGTCCGGGCATTTTAACAATTAATAGCGACTGAGATAAGTTCATGTCTTTGACTAATAAATGACAATAAATAAGAAATTTTTTTTGCTGTAAATATGCGATTATTAAGTATCACAAACATATTCGTACCACTTCATTCGCTTCTCAATTCAAATCTCAATCCCTCATTGTCACGCATGAGATGCGTGTGACACTACAGTAGATACATGGGAATCAATTTATTTTTCCTGTCGCGTCTTCCTGTTTTTTATACATCTGCCAATAACATTATGACGGATAAATTGATATAGCAGTAGGGCGTATTTGAGCCCGCACAATTAGGCGCCATTATCTTCTTACCTAATTGCGCCTTCTTTACTTTGGCGTAGCTCCTTAGTAACAAAAAACATGGACAGCCAATATTAAAATAGAAATTAAAGTCGGTAATTAGTGGAAGTTTGGTAATTAGTTTGTGTTATTCGAAGCATAATAGCATTTAATTAAAATTCACTTTACCTACATAATTAGCTTTACCTACATATATTTTTTTTATTGCTTAGTTGGGTGGACGAGCTCACAGCCCACCTGGTGTTAAGTGGTTACTGGAGCCCATAGACATCTACAACGTAGACGCGCCACCCACCTTGAGATACAAGTTCTAAGGTCTCAGTATAGTTACAACGGCTGCTCCACCCTTCAAACCGAAACGCATTACTGCTTCACGGCAGAAATAGGCAGGGCGGTGGTACCTATCCGCGCGAACTCACAAGAGGTCCTACCACCAGTAATTACGCAAATTATAATTTTGCGGGTTTGGTTTTTATTACACGATGTTATTCCTTCACCGTGGAAGTCAATCGTGAACATTTGTTGAGTACGTATTTCATTAGAAAAATTGGTACCCGCCTGCGGGATTCGAACACCGTTGCATCGCTTCAACACGAATGCACCGGACGTCTTATCCTTTAGGCCACGACGACTTATACATAATTAGCTTTACTGGTGGTATGACGACGTTTAGTGAGTCCGCACGGGTAGATACCATCACCCCGCCTATTTCTGCTGTGAAGCAGTAATGCGTTTCGGTTTGAAGGGTGGGGCAGCCGTTGTAACTATACTGAGACCTTCGAAGTCACATCTCGACGTGGGCGTTGGCATTTACGTTGTACATGTCTATGGGCTCCGGTAATCACTTAACACCAGGTGTGCCGTGAGCTCGTCCACCCATATAATCAATAATAAATAATAAAATTTAAATAATATTATTTTCTTGTACAATAAATAAATGGATCGCATAAACGAAGCTTTTACTGATCTAGTCTTCTATCTTCTTCTTCTATCTATCTATATATATAAAAATGAATTGCTGTTCGTTAGTCTCGCTAAAACTCGAGAACGGCTCGACCGATTTGGCTAATTTTGGTCTTGAATTATTCGTGGAAGTCCAGAGAAGGTTTAAAAGGTAGATAAATATGAAAATGCTCGGAATTAAATGAAAACAACAATTTTGTTTTTCCTTTGATGTGTCCCCCGTCGGACGGATTCTGTTTGTTTGTTTTAAGTTTATTTAAGGCATTACGAAATCTGCCGGGTCAGCTAGTCTATTAATAAATTCACAAGCAGAGCAGTATATTGTACTGGTTCATCATTACGGAATGGCCTTGGCCGTGTCGCGCGACAAGCTCACGTACGATAATCAATGTTCGCTTTACAATTCTCACATCATTTACATATCGCAATGCAATCGCATTCAGTATCCCAGTTCGTGCATCAATGTATGTTGAAATTTGAAAAATGATTTTTAACTCCTATATTGATCGTATTACAGGTGTTTAGTGAATAATGTTATCTAACTAGCATCACTGAAAAAAATTCAAAATCTATTTTCTATCTATCTGTTCGTTAGTCTCGCTAAAACTAGGGAACGGCTGGACCGATTTGTCTAATTATGGTCTTGAATAATTTGTGGAATTCCAGAGAAGGTTTTAAAGGTAGATAAATATGAAAATGCTCGGAATTAAATAAAAATAACAATTTTTTTTTTTCTTTTTCGGACGAGTTTCTTTTATTTGTTTTAAGTTTATTTTATACAAAAGTTTAGGTCTTTTATTTCTCGATTGAGGCACTACGGAGTCTGCCGGGTCAGCTATGTAGTAAATTATAAAAATAAGATTTACCGATGAATGTAAAGTCATGATTTTTAAATGGATTAAACGAACTTCTACTAGTGGCTCTGCACGTACAGCACAATTATATTGTCTTATATTCTTTATAAGGGAGTCCTCAAGATCAGGCAGCGGGACTGGGCTCTCTGCTCGGCAGTGTTAAAATTCATTAGTGACGGTGGCCACATTTTGTTCTAAAATGACTCCGTTTGTTTAACAGTGAAGAGAAAGCTTCGCCGCTATCTCCTCCCGGCACTGGTGATGCTCACGCGGACCTCATGGCTGCGATCAGGAGCGCGGGCGGTGCTGGGAGAGCGAAGTTACGGCACGCGGTCGAATCTGAAGCACCCGAGGTAAGGATATCTTGAATCAAATGTTGAAAACATAATCTTAATATCTGGTTTAGTACTTGACCTTTCGATTGGCGGTCGTCGTGTCTGATTTTATCGAAATTTAAAAATATTATTCCGTGGTCGACTAAAGTATTCGAATCATCGTGCAAAACGGTACGATAAATGATAGATAATTATACTGTTGTCACATCGTAATGTCAGCCAGTGTCAAATCAAAAACATAGTACCTAATATAGGCAACGTTGAGTCGGTACACATATATAAAAAAATTACCCTAAATACTGTCTCGAAGTATTTCTGCCATTTTTGTAACACGAACATTTGACCACAGATACTATAAGTTAATTTCAAGGAAAGAGGCTCTAATTAAAAACACTCAAGGATCTTATTTTACCACAACTAAATGAGGCACCGGGTCATTTGTTTTGAAATTATGCTTGCTCAATAGAGAACGTCTTAAACTTGTCTATTGCTCGTGTCAATAACACGTGTAAACATGCGTTACGTTATCTATACTAATATTATAAAGAGGAAAGATTTGTTTGTTTGTTTGTTTCGAATAGGGTCCGAAACTACTGGACCGATTTGAAAAATTCTTTTTCCATTAGAAGCCGACATTGTCCCTGATGAACATAGGCTACTTTTTTTAAATTTTTTTTTTTTGGTTTCATGTTTGTTTTAATGTTTCCGAAGCGAAGCGAGGGCGGGTCGCTAGTTACTAAATATAGCTTTAAAAAAACTTGGCGGAACATCCTTAGTGTCGAACTTATGACCTCTTGAACGAGTAACCCTCAGACACAGCCCACTGAGTTTCTCGCCGGATCTTCTCAGTGGGTCGCATTTCCGATCCGGTGGTAGATTCTGCGAAGCACGGCTCTCGTTAGGGTTCGTGTTAGCAACGTCGTCAGGTTTGAGCCCCGTGAGCTCACCTACTGGTTAAGGTTACGCTGAAATAGCCTGTCAAGGCTCTCAGCTAGGTAGGAAAAAAAAATTGAACGAGTATAGAGCTAATTTTGAGACCTACCGAAATACCTTTGAAATGATCATCAATATGCATAGATAAGTTTTCTTACTGGATGTAGGTCGTTTTGTCAGTGCGCACGGGTAGGTACCACTACGCTGTCTTATCCGACGGACAAGGCAACGTAAAGCCACCGTCGCCGAAACCTGTCTTGTCGTATCCCCCGGATTCACTCTCGGTGCTCTTAGAACCCTCAAGCACCGGTCACCGTCCTTGTCGATCTCGTCGATCGCGACGAAGAGTTCGACGAGTGAACTAACCCATAGACACGGTCCACTGAGTTTCTCGATGGATGTTCTCAGTGGGTCGCGATTACGATCCGGTGGTGGATTCTGCGAAGCTCTTCTCTTGCTAGGGCTAGTGTTAGCAAATTCTCTCAGGTTGAGGCCGTGAGCTTATCTATCCGTCCGGGCCTAGCTGAAATAGCCTCGTTACCAGCGAATAGTTAGGGGAAAAAAACTACGCTGCCAATTTCTGCTGCGAATCAGTGACGCGTCCCAGTTTAAAGAACAGGACAGCCGTTAAATTATAAAATTGAGGTTTAGACCTCATGCCTCAAGTTGGGAGGCGGCATTCATCTTGTGATGTTTATTGGCACCATTTAACGTCAAATGGGCCGAAAGCTCGATCGCCCATAAATAAAATACAATAAAATAACTAAATGTTCAAAACAGAAATGAAATAGGTCAGACGATGGAACTAAATTAGCATTGCTAAATCATCCAGGCTCATCGCTCCATAAAATAATGAAATTACAGCAATTACATTCTATTGTCCGGGCTACGGTTTTTGTTCTACGATATCGTATCGTACTTCCAAGCTCTTCGCGGAATCATAATATGAAATTCAATCGTTTTTGAAGTTAGTTTTTATTGTTTTGTTTTTAAGACCATACAACCACATGTTTTATATGGATGTGATTTCCTGTAAAATAGCGTGCTGTTCTCGTTATAGAATCCAGATTTAATGAATACACACAATTATTATCATTTCGAGGAAACGCATGGTTCTTAGTCGGGCGTGAAAGCTTATTAAAACAATCTATTGTGATTTGAATAATTCGAATACTCAAAAAAAAAGTATATATATAACCGTAACTGGATAGACGTAGCACAGAATAGAGACGCTTGGGCATCTTTGGAGGAGGCCTTTACCCGATCCGGGGTTCTTGCTAACTAAATTTTACTGATTCATTACAAAACATTTTTACATCCTAAATACTAATACATTTATTTATTTATTATATATTTTTTTAAACTTTGTAAAGCAAGAAATAAATGGCTTATTATTATTATTATTATATAACCGTTCGTTAGTTTTATTAAAAACACGTTTAGTGTTGTCGTAAATTCCTCGTAACTTTCTCCGTGACGCATGTGCGTAAACAAATCAAAATTCTAAGGATATTTTTAAAATCGATTGTAAATAGAATCGACGCGAACACGAACCGAGCCCGGCCTTATCGTCGTCACATGTCGGGAGTTCTCAATAATAATAATAAAAAAAAAACCGTGCGCGCTTAGAGAGAAATGGGTGAAACCGGTTCTCGCGGTAATAACTAAGTGAATCTTCGTATCCCTCGAGCTGGATTTACATGTAAATCTCACTTTACAATGATGGTTTCGTTGTCAATTGAACTTTTTACTAGTGGTCCGCTGGTAGTCGAAATTCGACTATAACTAATGGAAATTATAAGTTTGTACACTATTATGATTCTATTGTCAAAGACTATTAAATACTTCTTTCATTACAGATTTCGTCAAAACTACACTTTAGACGAATATTAGTAAAGAGAAAACAATATTTAATCTATTCTCAATTTGACAGACTATAACTGACAGACTGCAAATAAACGTTTGACAATATAGGTTTCATACTTCAGTGCCATAAACAAATAGTATGCATGCGTGTGTGTGTCAAATACATGGTAGTGTGTGTAATATTCTCTTTATTGATTTACTGTATCTTTTATGCATTATTTATAAAAAAAATTAGCATTGTGCACTTCTTCTGTAAATTCTCTATAAGTGTGGAAAATTTCATACTCCTCCGTCCGCGAAATTTTCGTAAAAAGGGATACAAAGTTTTTGCTTCACGTATTAATATAAAGAAAAATAAAAAACGGCGCTATCATTTGTTTTGTAACTGAGTATGAGCTCAGTTACACTTATCGTAAATAGATTATAATATGAGTGTACTGGAAACGGGAGTTCACTTTTTGTTCGATCTTAAATATTGTGGGGTTTTTTTTTTTTTTCGTTTTAATGCAGCAGCAGTTTTTCGTCATGAGTTTCTTTGAAATTTCGTATTGAGATAAAACGTGCTGAACCACGATGTTGTTCAATTGATAACCTCGGCTGGTCGTTAAACGTTTTCCAAGAGTTTTTTAAACGAATACGTCACATCGAATGGTGGATGATAATGAAAGAGATTGTCGCCGTTCGAGCGTGTGTTACGAGACGAGTATTTGTGTAATGTGTATTGTATTGTACGATTTACGAAGGCCCGTGTTAAATTGAATATGCAATTTCGAAAAGGGCACATGTCGCATATTTTGTCAAATACGTTTTTTTCATAATATACATGTAGTTTTGAGGCTTACCTACACTCATTTTATAATAATTTCAGTAATTTTCAATTGCTAATTAACACTCAAATATATTTCAAAAGTTAATATTTTAAATTTTACACTGCTTTAGAAAATAATCAGTCTTTTTTCATTTCCTGAACTTTTAACATTTTCAGAGATGTGCCCTTTTCGAAATTGCATATTCAATTTGCTTAGTCATTTCGCTGTGTGGCGTTTCCACGGCGTCCGCAAAAAGCAAGGTTCTTCACTCGACCCGTTTGCTTATTCGTATGTTCGTTATTTTCTTAGAATTTATCGATCCGAATCGAATGCGGTTCTTCAATGCAGCTCAGGAAGCATTACGTGTGCTCTGTGCGTTTTTTTTTTCTGTTTGTTGCGAATCTATAATATTTAATTGCGCAACACGCACCAGTCAATCGTGGATTTACCGGGAAACGCGAAAGGCTCTTTTGAGTCGAGCAATCTCGACTTAAAGTACATTCACGTATTGATATTCCTTTGTGTCCGGGGAACTTTTCACTTGTAACTGCTCACCTCTAAGAAGCTCTCATGTGAACGCACATAATTGCATGCAGACGGACGCTTCACAGAAGCGATAATTGTGTTCTGTAACGTTCTAAGAAATGCTATTAAATTAGCAGATGATAACCTAATGATAAAACTATCAGGCCCGACCATTATGTTACATGGGCCACGTGCCTTAATGTCTACGTGTTGTTTATAGTTTATTTTTTTTTGTCTATTCCGAACATTCGAAAAGTGTATTTATTATTTATGATTTTGACGATTTGACATCGTAATTCGCTCAGAACGATTATTTTGTTTCTTCGGAATGTAATTTCATGTTAGGCATACATTTTCTCGGTAATAGTAAATGAGAATTCTATCTGATACGATACTAGTTCTACGTTAATTACTTGTCACGTTTGAACTACAGTTGTGAGCTGTAAATTAATATTCAAATTCTGGTTTTAATAGCATGGGTCGTTAAGTATGTTTCGATTCGATCGATTACTTTTTTCTGAGAAACGGTTTCGTATAATATCTCCTTATCTTTGAATAAAATCTTGGAATAACTTATTTAGAATATGTTCACTCAAACAACATCTTTTAAAAACTTTCTTTCCTGTATTTATTTATTGATTAACTAGCTGACGAGGCAGACTTCGTAGTGCCTCAATCGATAAATAGAATACTTTTGTTAAAAATAAACTTAAAACAAACAAAAGGAATCCGCCCGACGGGCGGGGGACACATCAAAGGAAAAACAAAATTGTTATTTTTATATAATTCCGAGCATTTTCATATTTATCTACATTTTAAACCTTCTCTGGACATCCGCAAAAAAATCAAGACCAAAATTAGCCAAATCGGTCCAACCGTTCTCGA